GTTACATCTAATTGGTGTCATTAAACTTACCTGTGAGGAGGATATCTACAGAAAAGCAATGTTGTATTTCATTAACATGAAACATTATAGTATTTTCTGTTTGGGTACTTGTAGAAGTTTATGGACACTAAAATTATTTGGGCTTTTTGTGTTAGACTCTATTACGTTTGGAACATCTGTCATAGCACCTTGTCAACTGCATTCTGGAACATTTCTGCTTCCGATGGAAAATGCAACATGACCTATGAGGCAGTCTTGCAAAAGAAAAAAAAATCTTAGCAGAATCTAATCTGGCCTCTCAAGATCCAGCTACAATTTACAGGAAATAAGAATAATAGGTCAAAGGAACACATTTGTTGACACCTCATAAAATCTAGCTTCTACGGAAAAACGACCCAGTTTCATCCTAAATAAATTACAAGAAAAAAGAGGATTACAAAAGACTGGAGACGTAGCAACCAATTACAATGTGGACCTTATTTGAATCTTGATTTCACAAACTGTGAAATATATGTATTTTACATATGACATCTTGAGAAATATGAATATTGTGATTTGGTATTTGATGCAAGGAATTATTACACTGATAATTATTGAAATTGGATCATGCATACTTGGGGATTAATTATTCCTGTTAAGTATTTTTCTCATAAAAAGTTTAAAAAAAACTTGTAGAACTAAAAGAGAATTCCAAAGATGAACCTATTTTAATTCATTTTTTTCTAAGAAAAAGTGATAATTTTTTTTCTTTTCTTTTCTTTTTTTTTTTTTTTTTTTTAGTCTCTCACCCTGTGCTCAGGCTGGAGTGCAGTGGTGCACTCAGCTCACTGCAACCTCCAGCTTCTGAGTTCAAGTGATTCTCCTTCCTCTGCCTTCTGAGTAGCTGGGATTACAGGGGCCTGCCACCACACCCAGCTAATTTTTGTATATTTAGTATCTTTTGTATATTTAGTGAGTAGTAGAGACGGAGTTTTACTATGTTGGATCAGGCTGGTCTCCAACTCCTCAGGTGATCTGCTGGCCTTGACCTCCCAAGTGCTGGGATTACAGGTGTGAGCCACCATGCCCAGCCATTTTTTTTTTTTTTTTTTTTTTTTTTGAGATGGGGTCTCTGTTCATCCAAGCTGGAGTAGAGTGGTACAATCTCGGCTCACTGCAACCTCCATCTCTCAGGCTCAAGCAATCCTCCCACCTCAGCCTCCCACATAGCTGGGACTACAGGCACACACCACCACACCTGGCTGATTTTTTATATTTTTAATAGAGATGGGGTTTCACTATGTTGGCCAGGCTAGTCTTGAACTCTTGACCTCAAGTGATGCTCCTGCCTCAGACTCCCAAAGTGCTGGGGGATTACAGGTGTTAGCCACCGCACCTGGCCAGAAAAAGTGAAAATAATTTTTTTATAGATTATCAGTAGTTATATATATGTTAATGAAGGATTTGGCTTCTTTTACCTAATTAGATTAATTATAAATTATAAATCCTTTATGAATAGTAATAGCCTTGAATTGTTACTTTTTGTAATGCAGTTGGCCCTCTGTACCTGCAGGTTCCACATCCTGGTATTCAACTGTGGATCAAAAATATTTGGGGGGAAAAAAAAGCAATACAACAATAAAAAATAATACAAATTTAAAAACAGTATACTACAAGAACTGTATACATGGCATTTACATTGTATTAGGTATTTTAAGTATCTTAAAGTTGACTTAATGTAAATGCCATGTATACAGTTCTTGTAGTATACTGTTTTTAAATTTGTATTATTTTAAAGTATATGAGAAGATGTGCATAGGTTATATGCAAATATGCCATATAAGGGACTGGAACATCCAGGGATTTTGGTGTCCTGGGGGTTCCTGGAACCAGTCCCCTGTGGGACAACTGTAATTAAATTGATTTTTGGATGGACGGGACTGATGTTAAATTTGGGGGGAAAAATGTTAGGATTCACAGTAATGTGAGTACTGTGGTTTGGAGTAGAGAATATGCTTTTCAGACTCATTTTCCTTTGGGAATTAAAAGTGAGGTCTCAAGGGCACCCTACAGCGTTGCTACTCAAAGTACAACGTTGCTACATAAACTGTTGACAGTGTGGATATTAAATAGCAAGTAGCTGAGTGGGCAATATTGAGTACAGAGGGCGGCTGGTGTGTGTATATTTGTGATGTTATTTGGGTTTTTTCCCCCTCAGGCAGAAGCTGAGGAAGATTGTCATTCTGATCCTCTCAGAGCAGATGAAGATGATGAAGAAAATGAAAGTCTTGCTGAAACAGATCTGCAGGCATGTTTCTTCAATTAGGTCTTTAATTTTTATCCATTGTTTCTCATACATATGCAGAAATTGGTCATAATTATAGGTATTTTTAGGTTATTACTGTTTGCATTGAATTTAACTGTTTCATATTGGTTTACAGAATAATTAAATAATGTGATGGCTTTCTTTGTAAAAAGAAATATCAATAATGGCTGCTTGTAGTTTAACACATGGGTTTTAAATATTCAAACTAAGGTTTAAGCATGACTCAACCCATAATCTTAAAAAGGTTGATGGGTTTGACCACCTAAAACTTTACAACCTGTGTATAACAAAAGGTATCATAAATAAAGTTAAGAGAAATAGCCAGTTTGAAAAACTGTCTATGTGAGCATAGGGTTCATCATCTCATTATATAGAGCATTCATATATTTGGAGGAACAGAGGATAAAAATATAAGAATGCACAGTTAATCAAAAAATAATACTAATGGCTATTAAATATTTGAAGAGATAATTAGCCTCATTGATAATTTAATCAGATTGGTGAATAATGTCCAGGCTGTGAGAACACTCATGCAGTGTACATGAAAATGCAAATTGCTACAACTTTCTGGAGGGCAGGCAGACTGGTGGTATGGATCAAAATGAAAACATGCATTCCCTTGATACAGCAATTCTAATTCCAGGTAATGAACTTTAAGGAAATAGTGGGGAAATAGTAAAGTAAGTAAATATGCAAGTATAAAGATGTTTAATATAGCATTGTTTATCTGGAAAAGCATCATACAACCTAAATATTCATCACGTCTTATTAAGTAATGATGGATCCATGCAGTGAAAACACTACAGCCATTTAAAAGGATGAAGTAAATCTTTATGCATTAAAATAGAAAAAAAGTTGCTGTAACTAGTTAACTGTGTCTCACTGCACTTGTAAGGTTAATATTTATTTGGAACAGATGGTCTCGTAGACGCATGGAATGCTGCTAAAGATTCTTTAGGTCAGAGAGATATGTAACTTGTTGGAAGCATAGCAACAAAGCTGTGTACAGAATATAGAGAAAAATTATTTTTAAAACATTCTAGATAACGGCTTTTTTAAAAAAAAAAGGAAATCCGGAACAACATAGGCAGCCCCGTTAGCAGTGGCTGTGTTTGGGCAGAACGTGTAACCCAGCTTGGGTTCCCCAGGAAGCAGACTAGGTAAAGATTGCCGTGCAGCAAGTTTATTAAGGAGTACTTTTGGGATCAACACCTATGGAAGGAAGAGAGGGAAATGAGTGGGCAGGGAGAAGACCAGCTGCAATGCAGTCTTAATGGACTGCTTAGCCATCCTCGAGGGAGTACTGAAGAGGCGATACCCTTTCACAGCTGACCTGAATGGCAGACAGAGAGCCAAGCCTTTATTAGCCATTGATCAGTCATCAGGTGGGGATTGAGAAGACAGTGTTTTTGCTGAGGCAGTACCCAAAAGGGCTGACAGCTCAAGCTGTTTTTCAGCTAGAACTCCCAGCAATTTGAGTAATAAGTTCTTTATTTCTGAAAGTGAATCTGGGCAACACACCAGAGTCTGCCTTATAGGGGGACTTCACTTTTTATATGCTTAAAATTTTTTTTTTTTTGAGATGGGGTCTCGCTGTGTTGCCTAGGCTCAAGTGCAGTGACGCGATCTCAGCTCACTGTCAACCTCTGCCACCCAGGTTCAAGCAATTCTCATGCCTCAGCCTACGGAGTAGCTGGGGTTACAGGCCACCATGCCCAACAATTTTTTTTTTTTTTTTTGTATTTTTAGTAGAGATGGCGTTTTGCCATGTTGGCCAGGCTCTCAACCTCAGGTGATCTGGCTTCCTCAGCCTCCTGAGGTGCTGGGATTACAGGCATGAACCACTGCACCCAGCCTCAAAGTTGCACATTTAAATTTTTAAAATAAATATTTGAAAGATATTTTCTTTCTTAAATACAGAATGTTAATTAAGAGAAAGATTTTGGGCTTACCTACAGAATTTTTGGTAACACTCTTAATGTCTACTAGATGCTATAGTCATTAAAAAATTATTGGAAGCTGGCTGGGCGCGGTGCACACCTGTAATCCCAGCTACTCGGGAGGCTGAATCAGGAGAATTGCTTGAATCCAGGAGGCAGAGGTTGCGGTGAGCCAAGATTGTGCCATTGCACTCCAGCCTGGGCAGTAAGAGCAAAACTGCATCTCAACAAAAAAAAAAAAAAAAAAAGAAGCTTATAACTTCAGTCTTTAAGTGATGGCTTATATTTTCAATTCTAATTAAAATTTGGTTCTCCAGTACCATTCAGCTTTTGCTGTAATGACAGATGTATTTTATGCAAGTTTTCTTGATTCTTTATGTTTTGAGTAGAAAATTATTTTAAACGATTACATGTATTTAATGGATATTTAGTAACAGCTGTTTCTGGACTTAGAATAATAAGTATATACATGAAAGTAGATGTTGGACGTACTGATACATTGTTCCAGAATTGAGATATCCTTCCTTGGTGAGTCCTACTGTGCTCTTCTCCCCTTAGGCACAACTCCAGATGTTCCGAGCTCAGTGGATGTTTGAACTTGCTCCAGGTGTAAGCTCTAGCAATTTGGAAAATCGAGCTTGCAGAGCAACAAGAGGCTCTCTCCAGAAAACAGCAGCAGATACCAAAGGAAAACAAGAACAGGCAAAAGAAGAAAAGTTAAGTATTATAGATGTAACAAATTACCTTTTGTTTTAGTTTTGACACATGGAAATTTTCACTGACACAGTAAGTAGTCATTGTAACCAGTCTGTCAGGACATAAGCACATGACATGTGAAATAAAAATTTTGGGCCGGGTGCGGTGGCTCACACCTATAATCCCAGCACTTTGGGAGGCCGAAGTGGGTGGATCATAAGGTCAAGACATCGAGACCATCCTGGTCAACATGGTGAAACCCTGTCTCTACTAAAAATACAAAAATTAGACGGGCATGGTGGTGCGAGCCTGTAGTCCCAGCTACTCGGGAGGCTGAGGCAGGAGAATTGCTTGAACCCAGGAGGCAGAGGTTGCGGTAAGCCGAGATCGTGCCAAGATCGTGTAGATTACATTACAGCCTGGGTAACAAGAGTGAAACTCCGACTCAAAAAAAAAATTTTTGACTAGTATACTGGTTTATATATTTCTCACAATTTCTTCTAGATACTTTGGATGGTACCACCACTCCTGAATGGCTTTTTTTCTCTGTAGGTAAACTATCTTCACTGAGCTGTCTTTTGTTAATTTATAGACCTCTGGGATTCATGTGGTCTCTGAACGATTGATGTCTCTGAATTTATTAACAGAGCCAAAAAGAAAAAAAAAAGATTGCTCACATGTTAACTTCTTTCCAGAGGTCTTAATTTCATGCAGTATTTTGTTATATTTTGAGTTGATCAGCTTACAAAAATGTATTAATCATTTCCTTATTCTGGAAAATTTTGAAATATTTTCACACTGAAAATGCTTTGAATGCTGTCTAACATTCACATTTCTTCTGGTACTTACACAGAGTAGGCACAGCATACCATTTCATTTTTTATTTTCTTTTTTCATAGAGGCTGCCATCTTTTTACCATCAGATCCAAGTTTGTGTTTTCAATTAGTCATTAAATAATTGGCATTACTCTGATAACTTAAATCTTCTATCTCCTATTTTTTATTTTTAAGTAATTATAGGTCCACAGGTTCAGGGAAGTCCTGTTCACCCTTCATCTAGCCTCCTCTGATGGTAACAACTTGCATAACCATAGTACAGTATCAAAAACAAGGAAATAAGTAGGCATTCAGACAATCCAGAGAGTTTATTTGGATTTCCTGGGTTTACAAGCACTTGTCTGTGTGTATGTGTATAAATAGTTGTGTGCAGTTTTATTACAAGGTAGTTTCATGCCACCGCCACCACAATCAAGATATGGAACTGTTTTATAGTCATATACTCCCTTTCTCTAGCTATTCTTAACCACTGGCAATCACTAATCTGTTCTCTATTTTGTAATTTTGATATTCCAAGAATGTTGTATAAGTGGCATAATACAGTATGTAACCTTTAGAGACTGGCTTTATTCACTAAGTGTAATTCCCTCAAGATCAGTCCATGTTGTTATGTATCAGTAATTTGTTCCTTTTTATTGCAGAATAGTACTGCATTGTATGGATATACCCCAGTTTGTTTAACCATTTATTGGTTAAAGGACATTTGTGTTGTTTCCAGTGTTTGGCTATTATGAATGGAACTATGGAAATATGTGTGCAGGTTTTTGCATGAATATAATTTTCATTTTATTGGGATGAAACCCCAAGAGTACAGTTGCTAAGTTCTATAGTAAGTGTGTGTTTTGCTTTTAAAAGAAACTGCCAAAGTGTTTTCTAGAGTATCTTTTAAGTTCCCACCAGCAATGTATGAGTGATCCAGTTCATCCTCATCAGCATTTGGTCTTGCTACTTTTTATTATTTATTTATTTAAAGACAGAGTCTTGCTTTGTCGCCCAGGCTGGAGTGCAGTGGCATGATCTCAGCTCACTGCAACCTCTGCCTCCTGGGTACAAGTGATTCTCCGGCCTCAGCCTCTTGAGTAGCTGGGATTACATGCCAATTTTTGTATTTTTAGTGGAGACGGGGTTTCACCATGTTGGTCAGGCTGGTCTTGAACTCCTGACCTCAAGCAGTCCACCCACCTCAGCCTCCCAAAGTGCTGGGGTTACAGGCGTGAGCCACTGCACCTGGCCTTTAATTTTATTAATAGCCATTAATATAGATATATAGTGGTATCTCATTGTTAACTATAATTTGCATTTCCTTAATGGCTTATGATGTTGAACATCTTTTCATGTGCTTATTAATTATCTATTAATATATATTCTCCTCTGAAACACTTGTTGATATCTTTTCTAATTGGAGTGTGTGTGTGTGTGTGTGTGTGTACATTTTTTCTTTTTTGAGACAGTGTCACTCTGTCACCCAGGCTAAAGTGCAGTGGCATGATCTTGGCTCACTGCAACTTCTGCCTCCCAAGTGATTCTCCTGGCTCAGCCTTCAGAGTAGCTGGGACTACAGGCGTGCACCACCACAACTGGCTAATTTTTGTATTTTTAGTAGGGATGGGTTTTACCTTATTGACCAGGCTGGTCTCAAACTCCTGGCCTGAAGTGATCTCCTGACCTGAGCCTCCCAAAGTGCTGGGATTATATGTGTAAGCCACCATGCCCAGCTGGATTGCTAATATTTTTAATGTTGTATTTCGGAAGTTCTTTTTGTATTCTAGATACAAGTCTTTTATTGAATATGTGGCTTGTAAATATTTTCATCCTCTTAACAGGGCATTTCACAGAGCAAAAATTTTTTATTTTGATGAGATCCCACTTACCCATTTTTTTTTTTTTTTTTTTTTTTTAATGAACGGTGCTTTTGGTGTCAAATATAAGAACTCTTTGCGAGAAAATCTACCCAGGCTGCCTTAGCACGATGTACCGAGCACTCCGGCTCCTCGCGCGCTCGCGTCGCCTCTCACGGGCTCCTGCCTCAGCCCCAGCGTCGGCTTCCGGCTTGGGTGGCGTGGCCGTGCCCTCGTTTTGGCCCCCGAACGCGGCTCGAATGGCAAGCCAGAATTCCTTCCGGGTAGAATATGATACGTTTGGTGAGCTAAAAGTGCCAAATGATAAGTACTATGGTGCCCAGACCGTGAGATCTACGATGAACTTTAAGATCGGAGGTGTGACAGAACGCATGCCAACCCCAGTTATTAAAGCTTTTGGCATCTTGAAGCGAGCGGCTGCTGAAGTAAACCAGGATTATGGTCTTGATCCAAAGATTGCCAATGCAATAATGAAGGCAGCAGATGAGGTAGCTGAAGGTAAATTAAATGATCATTTTCCTCTCGTGGTATGGCAGACTGGATCAGGAACTCAGACAAATATGAATGTAAATGAAGTCATTAGCAATAGAGCAATTGAAATGTTAGGAGGTGAACTTGGCAGCAAGACACCTGTGCATCCCAATGATCATGTTAATAAAAGCCAGAGCTCAAATGATACTTTTCCCACAGCAATGCACATTGCTGCTGCAACAGAAGTTCATGAAGTACTGTTACCAGGACTACAGAAACTGCACATGCTCTTGATGCCAAATCCAAAGAGTTTGCACAGATCATTAAAATTGGGCGCACTCACACTCAGGACGCTGTTCCACTGACTCTTGGGCAGGAATTTAGTGGTTATGTTCAACAAGTGAAATATGCAACGTCAAGAATAAAAGCTGCCATGCCAAGAATCTATGAGCTCGCAGCTGGAGGCACTGCTGTTGGTACAGGTTTAAATACTAGAATTGGCTTTGCAGAAAAGGTTGCTGCAAAAGTGGCTGCACTTACGGGCTTGCCTTTTGTCACTGCTCCAAATAAATTTGAAGCTCTGGCTGCTCATGACGCTCTGGTTGAGCTCAGTGGAGCCATGAACACTACTGCCTGCAGTCTGATGAAGATAGCAAATGATATTCGTTTTCTGGGTTCTGGTCCTCAGTCAGGTCTGGGAGAACTGATCTTGCCTGAAAATGAACCAGGAAGCAGTATCATGCCAGGCAAGGTGAACCCTACTCAGTGTGAAGCAATGACCATGGTTGCAGCCCAAGTCATGGGGAATCACGTTGCTGTAACTGTCGGAGGCAGCAATGGACATTTTGAGTTGAATGTTTTCAAGCCAATGATGATTAAAAATGTGTTACACTCAGCCCGGCTGCTGGGGGATGCTTCAGTTTCCTTTACAGAAAACTGTGTGGTGGGAATCCAGGCCAATACAGAAAGGATCAACAAGCTGATGAATGAGTCTCTAATGTTGGTGACAGCTCTCAATCCTCACATAGGTTATGACAAGGCAGCAAAGATTGCTAAGACAGCACACAAAAATGGATCCACCTTAAAGGAAACCGCTATTGAACTTGGCTATCTCACAGCAGAGCAGTTTGACGAATGGGTAAAACCTAAGGACATGCTGGGTCCAAAGTGATTTAAATAAATTTATAATGAAAATAAACATGTATAAAATTTAAAAAAAAAAAAAACTCTTTGCTTTGTTTTCTTTTCTTCTAAAAGTTTTATGAGTTTTACATTTAAGTCCATGATTCATTCAAGTTAATATTTATGTAAAGTATGAGGTTTAGATCAAGGTTCGTTATTTTGCCTATGACCAATTATTTCGCACAATTTATTTAAAAGGCCCTTCTGCCATCCATACTAATTTTTAATGTAGGTTTTCAAAACTTTTTACTTTATATTTTTATAGGCTCGAGAACTCTTCCTAAAAGCAGTAGAAGAAGAACAAAATGGAGCTCTCTATGAAGGTAAAAATTTAGAGCACAGGATCATATCATCATAACATTTCTGAATAACAACTCTGTTATTAACCATGTATTTTTAAATTATAACATATTTGGTATAGAATATCAGTTTTCTTAATACATTCTTCCTTCAGAGTTCATTGGAAATTGGTTCCGGGACCCTTTGCAAATACCAAAATGCTTAAGTCCCTTATATAAATGGTGTAATATTTACATATAACTGATGTAAATAGTTGTTATACTGTATTGTTTTTTAAAATTTGTATTTATTTTAAATATTTTTTATCTGCAGTTGATTGAATCAGAGAATGTGAAACCTATGCATATAGAAGGCCAACTGTATTTGAAATTGTTTTTTAAAAAATAAAAAATAGAAATTGTTTTTCTATATAACCTGTCTTTTTGCAAAATAATATTGCTGGGAAACATCATCATATTGGTAGGATGAGCAAAATAACACTTTTTTTACATTTAGCTTTAGTTATTCTTCATTAATAAAGTATTTAAAAATTGTTCATTTTAAAATATGCTCTTTTTATAGGTGAAAATTACTTCAGATGATGGGAATATAAAGAATTGAGGAAAAAATACGTATTTTCCTTTCTAAATCATAATTTACATATTACCAACAAAAATATGTGGTAATATGTGTGTCAGCTTTGTGAATTTTATTAACCCAATAGAAATGTGTAAATAAACTGATAGGACTATTTACCATATTAAGTTTGTAATTACACTTTAATTTTGTGATAGTAAAGATAATAGGAAAAATCTTTGTGCTTGAATCATTTGAGAATGCCTCAAAAATAACATCATTCAGAGTTACTGCATTTATGTGCAAGTTTCTTCTAGTGATATTTTTCTTTAGATTTTAGAAAGGCCCAATTGGTGAAGTCCCTGTGCACCCTTCATTGGTTTGTGAAATTCGCATCTCCACTTAGTGTATGGTAATTCATCCAGAATAATAGAATATGACAGAAATATGTTGAATCATAAACCTCTTCAGAGGAAAAAACTAGCCTCTGCAACACCAAGTTCTACTGGTATATGTCTGTGGGGAGAGTTATTGAATATCATAGCTCTAAACTACCAGACTAGTAGATTTGTAAAAAAAAAAAAAGTCTTGACGGTTACTTAGCTAAATAAGAGGCAGTGGGCTAAAGGAAGTTAAATTTAAAGGATAATTAAAAAAAAAACTATTCTTTATTCTGCCCAGTAGGAAGCATTTAATTTTCCTCAACTCTGTGTCTTAGAAAAGTTTGCTTAGAAACTTGCCAAACTTTGCTTAGAAAGTTGCTGGCCAGGCATGGTAGCTCATGCCTCTAATCTCAGCACTTTGGCAGGCTGAGATGGGAGGATTGCTTGAACCCAGGAGTTAAAATCAGCTTGGGCAACATTGCAAGATGTTGTCTCTACGAAAAATTTAAAAATTAGCCAAGTGTGCTGGCTGGCGCATTCCAATAGCCACGGCTACTCAGGAGTCTGAGGTGGGAGAATTGCTTGAGCCTGGGAGGTGGGGTCTGCAGTGAGCCGAGATCGTGCCAGCTGCACTCCAGCCTGGGCAACAGAGAGACCCTATCTTAAAAAAAGAGAGAGAGAGAGAGAGAGAGAGAGAGAAGTATTTTTGTTGGCTATAGCAACTGTATCTTCAGAGCCCAAAGAAAGACAGCTGTTTAAAAATCATGATATATGAGAGGGTGAGGAAAAAGATGGGCTAATATATGAGTAAAATACAACATCTTAAGTTTAGGGAAAAGGTTCTTTCTGAGCAGTAAGGTTTGGAAATAATTTTTTGTCACTGAACTACTGTTGCATATAGAAAAACAGAACTTGGCTGTTTGTGAAGAAAGTTACCAAATTAAACCATAGTTAAGGGTAATCAAAGGAAATGACAAAAATGTGTGGTCATAGCTAATTTAGCTTTATTTCTTCTTTTAGCCATCAAGTTTTATCGTAGGGCTATGCAACTTGTACCTGATATAGAGTTCAAGATTACTTATACCCGGTCTCCAGATGGTGATGGCGTTGGAAACAGCTAGTGCGTATATAATTTGATAGACAGTAATGCATAGAGTTTGTTAAGTTAAGCATCTTTGCCCTGTTGACTCTTAACATAAGAAGATGGTGCTAATTCTGTTAAGCTCTATATTCTTTAGTATATCTTTGTTTATAAAGTTGCAGAAATTTTTTAATTAGGGAAATAGAAAGGTTAACATAGAAATGCACCTTTTAAACAGATACAAAAATAATAAAGTGAAAACGGTTTTAAAAAGCAGTAGTTACTGAAAGGAGTAAATTAAAGAACACATTTCAACTTTCTGAAACCTGTTTGAAGTAGAAAGTTTTAAAATGTAATTAGGCTAAAGTTTGCAAAATATTAATGATGGTTAAAATTGAGTGATGGGTACATGGGATTTTCTTACACTAGTTTCTTTTGTATACATTTGAAATTTTACATTTTAAAAAAGGCTTCTAATTTTATGAGGAAAATGCTGAACTGTAAAATACATTATTTTCTTAATGTTTGTTAGTAGAACATTAAAACTCTTTAACATTCATTTAAAAGCACAGGTGCAGAATATATTCCTAAAAGAAATCATGTTTCATTGTGTGGTTGCCACTTGTATCAAATCATGAATTTGCATTAGTTTTATATGGATAAATATCAAGAAATATTTTTTAAGACGATACTTTTGAAGCTGTTTGTAAGACAATTATAAAATTGTTTTAGCTTAATTCCAATATCTCCCAAAACTCAATTTGCTGATATTAGAAGGGAAGGGGGTCTGTACCCATGAGAGAATGTCAGGTTAAAAATAGACAATACAGAGGAAAAAAGGAGTTTGATAATGAAATATCATATTAGCTATTATATTAATATGTTCCCTCTTTCATGAAATAATTGTCACCTTTATTGATAACATATGCTTATTGCCAATGTTTTAAACTGCATATGGTATTAACACGTAAGCTTTGGATAAGTCATATTAAAAACATCCCAACAAGGTCAATATTAATTGCTTGTTTAAATTTTCAGCTAATAATATTGTTCACCAGATTAGAGTTAACACTGTAAGGTAGTTCATACTTAAAATGAATCATTTGGGCTTTTTCTAAATCTTCTTTAAATTTGGGTAATTTAGATTCAGCTCTTAGCCAGTTTTATAAATACGTGCCAGATGCTGTTAAAAAAGATTATATTAAAATATTAAAGAGGCATTTATTTTCATTCCCATTTTTTAAATACAAACCCAGATGCTATGAAAGTTCTTTAAGGATACAATCTATTTTTTTTTTTTAATAAGTTCTGATAAGCCCTAAAAGTTTGCCTTTTTTTCTTTCTTTCCTGTAACATGTTTGTAGAATAGCCATTGAGTCCAGCTTCAACCACACTTAAATTTTGTTGTATTATAAAATGCCCTTCCTGGTTTTTCATTTCTTTTTCTTTTTTTTAATTAAGTCTGCATCACTTGAAACTTCCTGGTTTTCTAACTTCATTATCCATGCCTTTTTGTAAGTCTGACTATCTTTAAGGTTTACTTCAGTAAAAATAGAAAGCTCAGACTTTTTTTTTTTAATCACCCTTAACTACACATTTGTGTATATTGGTAGATGATTTGTGCACCCTAAGATGTTTTCAAATTAGGTATTTTCCTCTCTAAAGGTAGGCTGATGAGGCAAATCTCTTAGAAAACCCTTGTTAAGTAAGTACCTAAAATGACATCTGTAGATTTGGTTTTTATCCAGTTAGAATAAGGTTAAAGAACTTACTACATTAAGATTTTTGAAATCATTTGAAAGTTTTCACTAACACATAAAATCTCTACTTTATAATAAAATTAATTAGTTAAGTCTCAATACCTATATTCAAAAATTCTAATTCTTTCTAGATAATTACTGAAGCTTTTTTTCTTTGAAAAACTTGGTACAGTATTCCTTTGTAAGGCAGGATACATTGATCACATTTAAAAATGTGTATCACATGTTGAATAAGTTTTAGGTGGCTTTTTGTAAAGCAAATTTGAAAATGGTATGAAAAATCAGTTTCTAAACTATACAGTTGTAGACTGAGGCACTTACTTTATTCACCTCCCTTTTTTCAGCATTGAAGATAATGATGATGATAGCAAAATGGCAGATCTCTTGTCCTACTTTCAGCAGCAACTCACATTTCAGGAGTCTGTGCTCAAACTGTGTCAGCCTGAGCTTGAGAGCAGTCAGACTCATGTATCAGGTTTGAATACTTGTTTTTTATAACTCAGTGAGAAATAGCTTAACCTTAGATTAAAAATTTTAAATTTATTAGGTCAGATAATTTGCCAGATAACTGCTGCTCTAGTTTAGAATATGGCAGAAGATCTAGTTATAATTATCATTTGCATATACTAGTAAGCTGTTTTAAAATCTGAAGCAGAACAGTTTTTAGTGCTGGTGTTTAAGGATGCCATACCTTTTTCTGTAAAGATCTAACAGGTGAGTCTGAGTTGTTGAAGTAACCCTAAGAAAACTGGAGGAATAGTGGTGTCATGAAGCATTTCAGCCATGTTGGACAACTGTCCTGAGACAGGCTGAATGTTTAGAAATTAATGTATTTTTGGCTGGATGTGGTGGCTCATGCCTGTAATCTCAGCACTTTGGGAGGCTGAGTTGGGAGGATCACTTAAGGCCAGGAGTTCAAGACCAGCCTGGCCCTGGTGAAACCCCATCTCTACTAAAAATACAAA